GGAAAGAGAAAGTGAGAAATCAAGCCGCCAAGTCCTGGACTTGAACCACAGTCGACCATGTGGGAGTCCAGCGCCCTTAACCACCTTGCTACCTGCTGGTCCCTAAAATTTCTTTTTTTGGGGGAGGGGGGAGGTTTTTGCTATAGGACATGTAAGCTCACCAGACAGACAGAGAGAGACGAGAGACAGAAAGCAAGAAATCCCCCCACCAGGGGCGATGGCCATGCCACAATCCCTTCTCTATTCTTCTCTCGGGATCTTGGGCACACACGCACATGCGCCTGGCATTGAGTTTTAAGCCACCGGGTCTGGGACGCGAACCGCGGTTGATTACATGGGAGTCCAGCGACAGAGCCATTACACTAACTGCTGGTCTCGTAAAATTTCTTTATTTTTTAAAGAATTTTTTTAATTCGACTTCATTTATTTATTTATTTATAAATCAACCAGAGAGGGACAGAGTGAGAGAGCGAAAGAGAGAAAGCAAGTTGCCAGGTCCAGGACTTGAACTGTGGTTGGCCATGTGGGAATCTAGCGCTTCTAGTCACCATGCCACTCACCAGCCCTGATAACATTTCTTGCAGATCAGTTCAAACAAACAACGCTCCTCCCCACAACCCACCTCCCCCCACTGCCCTCCACTGGGGGCAGCTGGCAGCCCGCGGCCCACTGCCAGCCCCGCTGCATCCATGTGCACCTGCAGACCCTGCTGTGTGGCCAGGCAGGCTGGCCCAGGGTGCCCTCCCCACTCATGCCATGCTCTGTCTCTCAGTCCCTAGCAGTGCCTCAGGCCCCGGTCACTGGCCCACATAGGAGTGGGCAGGGTCCTCTGGGCCAGGGAGGTGGAAATGGGGTGAGCCCTGTGGCCTGGCCACCACCCAGAGGGCAGCGTGGACAAGGATGCCTGGAGACACTCAGGCCTCGCTGGCATTGAAGACCCTGGGCTGGGTGGCCACACAGCCCTTTCTGCAGGGAGTCCCCACAGCCCCTCTCACTAAGGCCAGCCTGTTCTGTGGCTCCCATCCAGGCCACCAGAGCCCAGGTGGCCGCGGCCCAGTCACCTCAACCATACCCAGTCTACTGCCTCCAAGCTTGGAACAGAGCCCTCTGTGGACCCCGAGGCCAACCCAGAGGCTGTGGGGCAGGTCTCCTGCAACGGGGTGGTGGGGGCTTGCTCCACCTACAGGAGACGCTCCTGCTCCTCTGCCCCAGCTCCCCAGGCTCAGCCCAGAGCCCAAGCAGATGAGGCTCTGTGTAGTTGCCCCCAGGCACACCTGCTGGATCGGGGCCCACAGGCCCAGAACTCGCACCCACTCCCAGGCTGGGGTCTTCAGCCCTGAAGAGACTAACGGAGTCTGGGCGGGGGTTCTCAGGCACCAGCCATCTCTGTCCTGCCCAGGGGACAGGGCAGTGGAGCAGGGCCCAGCCCAGTCCAGCCCAGAGTGAGGCTGGGGGCGACGCCCACCCGCCCAGCCGGGGGGAGCCAGCGGCCTGTAGCAGGTGGGCTCTGAGGCAGGAGATCCGCAGGTGGCGGGCAGGCCAAAGTATGGGGACACCAATATAATGCGGGTTGCCACAGCCTCTGCAGGTGCTGCGGGCACCCTGTGAGGGCCAGTGCCTACTGTGTGGCCTGGGGCAGGCTGGTCTGGCTGACCCCACTGTCCCTGCTCCAGTTGGCACTACTGGCCTCGGAGCTCAGAGCTGACTGAGGGGCGACCGTCTCGGCTTCTCAGTTTCAGATCCCAGGTTGGGAGCAGAAGGGATGTCTGCTGCTCCAGAGCAGGAAGCAGGCGCGGAGGAGGAGGGCTGTGGGCCAGGGCTGGCAGCACCGGGCAGCCCCTGCCAGTCTAGAGCCCAGCTGGAGGGAGCAAGAAGCACACTGCCCACCCTGCCCTCTGCTTTCCAGAGCCAAGGGGCAAACCCGCACAGGGTCCAGCCTCTCAAGGGCAGCGCCAGCGTCCAGGGTCCCACTCCCCATCCCTGTGCCATCCCAAGGGCCTCACTGCTGCAGGACCCATAAAGAGCTCTCTGCCCAGAAACAAGGAACACAGCTTCTGCCTCCCCCCACCACCACCACCAGCACATCCTTGTCAGCCAGAGCTGGCCCCAGGGAGCTGGCCAGATGGTTACACTCCTGCCCACAGGCCTCAGAGCACAGGCCAGGCCAGGCAGCTCCGCCTCACCCAGCCCGTGCAAGCCCAGTTCCAGGGACTTCCCGGCAGTTCCAGGGAGAGCAGCTCAAGGGTGGCAGGGCCAGGGCCCTCTCGGCTGTATCCCCCACACACACCCCATGGCCTTCTAGGCCCTGAGGTTTTGACAAGACCTGCCCCAGAGGTCTTAGGGCTGCCCTGGGGGACCTGAGTCTCTCAGCGCAGGGACACCTCTATCAGGCAGTCTAGATGTCTGATGAGTGACCAGAGGGGCTGCCCGGGCTCAGCCTGGGGCTGGAGTGCTGCCCTGGGTCCCAAGGAAGTGGCAGGGGGTTGGGTGAGGCCGTTTCCCTGGAGAGACCTGGCTGTACAGAGCACAGACCGATTTAAATTTGAAACTGATTTGAAGTGCAACTCACAGGTCAGAGTACAGTGACCTTTTACTCCATTGAGCGCCCTGGTTTGTCCAGCATGGACGGCGAGAGCTTGAGGAAAAGGCCAGGCACAGACCCAGCCTCGCCTGCAGGGTCCGCACAGGGCGCTCGCTCTCAGCGTCTCCATCCCGAGGAGGGGGCCACCTCCTGTCCGCCCGGCACGGCAGGCCAGCCAGGACCCACACTGCAGGGCTGGGTTCGTTCTTCTCTTGTCCGGGACACTCATGTGGCGGCCTGCTTTCCAATATGAGTCATAAAGCTTACATGCATATTACGTATGTGACAGGGACAGGACAGCCAGGAGGCAGCTCCAAGCTGGACACGGGTGAGGCCCAACATCTGCACACGTGCCTACAGTTTTCGCACAACTCTAGCTGTGACACTTGCCCAGAACCTGCGGCCCAGTCACCGGCTGCACTGCTGATTCGAGTTGGTTCGAATTGCGAAGTGAAGCCTGACATGTCCCTGCAGCAGTGACAGTGGCCCAGACCTCGAGAGCTGCCCCCGCCACTGCCACAGACCTGTCTGCTTCCCGCGCAGGCCCCCGGCAGCAGCTGCCCTCCAGGGCTGTCCAGACCGCTCTCCTGAAGGCAGGGGATTCGCTCCAATTTCGCCACGTCCCCTTAGAGCACAGCTATCGCCCAGGTGGCTTCAGCGTCCCCTACTGCTAGGGTCCTGGACAGTCAACAGGAGGCACTAGAGTGGGCCACAGCCCAAGGGACCCAGGCACATGGCGAAGGCTTTCTGGGCACAGCAAGTACGGCCACCGGCCTGGTCAGCCACGCTGCCTGCAGGCCTGTTCCCTCCACCTCCATGTGGCCAGGGCCCTGGCAGAGTCCTCAGGGCCTGCGGGGCCACAGCAACCTCTGCATCCAGAGCCATCAGACACCCCAAGTGCAGGCCACCTCCAAAGACAGCAGTCATCCCCCCACTTCCAGCAACAGCTCTCCTGGAGGACACTATCCCCAGCCCGGCTCAGCCCGGCTCAGCCCGGCTCAGCCCGTGGGGCCGGGAGGGGGGCTTCCTCCCGCTACTCCCACTCTACACCTTACCTGGACTGAGACCCGCCACACCTGTCCTGCCCCACCCAGGAAGTGCTCTTCCTCGTGTTTACTAAGGGTGATGGCGTACCCTGCAGCCAGAACTCAGCGGAAACCCTAAACTTCTGCTAATCCCCAGGACGGCCCCGCGCCAACAGGGATCAGTCCAGCTGGGATTAGCCTGCAGCCAGGGCAGCACCGCCCCGAGCCTTGGCTGCCGGCCACCGGCTGGGGGCGGCCTCCTTTCTGGCTTTTT